GTCAAAAAAAAATTCTACAAAATGACTAAATCTAATAGGTTATTCTCCTGTATTTTGGTACCGTTAGATTCGCAATACATCAACGGCAGAGCTCCGTCCCACCATGCCACACGTGATAGAAAGCTCAGCGTTGAGAAAACTCAACGCTGTAGGTGGGACTAGACCCCGGGTCCCGGATGGCCAGCCCGTGCAAGAAGCAGCGAAGGTCCCAGCAAAAAAAAAAAAAAAAAAAAAANAAAAAAAAAAAAAAAAAAAAAATCCAAAAAAAAACAAACAAACTATGTTATGCAGAAAAGTAAGCTGAACAACTTTTGCCTCAGGGTAATATCGAAATTCTTCACCAAATTAAGAATAAAAATTAAATTCATCAAACCACAAACAAAAATAGAACAGCAATATCTCCTACATAACAACTAAAAAAATCATAGCAAAACAATCAAGACCTAATAACACAAGTAAACCTGAAGTATTACAAAATACTCAAATGAGAAATAAATTGGGAAAAAAAAAATTTAACTGACACTATTCCCTGACTCCTTGGCCAGTTCCTCTATACTGTCTAGTGTCTATATATCAGGTGTAAATACGACCGGACGTCAACCAGTCCTACCGAGGTCCCAACCAAGGAGAGACCACTACTACTTGTCCTTTCTCTTTGACTCGGGCCAGGTTCTGATGTATGCATGATATCTGGAACCAGAGTTGACTAAGGCCGTACTCACCCTAGCACCATCGTAAATGCATCTGACCGCATTTACAGTTAGATGTGGATGTATGTGGCCGCAATCACGTCAAAAAATAAGTAAAAACGTCCTGGTGTGAGTGTGTGCCCTAAGTATTTGTTTGTGTATTTTCTGCTTTGGCAAAATGAGTAGAATGCCAGCAAGCCTGCCTTCTTCCCCCGAATACAACGTAGGGTCGTTACAGCTGTATCTAGACTGAAAGATGGTTCAAGTACAGCTAAACTGACCGTACGTTGTACTCAGGGGAAGAAGGTAGCTCGGTACACCCACGGACTGTTGAAATACAGACCCAAGTTCGAATCCAGATATAAGAGCAGATGGCCAGAAAATTAGAAAATTCTTAGTTACCTGGGGGCGGTTAGCTTCAATGATGATATCTCAAAGCCGTCGCCCTTTCAAAAAAAAAAAAAAAAAAAAAAGAAGGGTAGAATAACCAACGAGCTTAGATCGGTTGGTATACGTATGAATTGTTGAAATAGGGACTAAAGTGCGAATCCAGATATAATCAGGTGACCAGAACAGCTTCAAATTCAGCTTCAAATTCTGAATTCCCTGGGGCTTGTCAGCTTCAATGATGATGTATCTTTCTTTCTTTTTCTTATTTTCTTTTTTTTTTCAGCTGGATATTAGATTCGGATAAGATTACATTTTCAGTGACATTGTGTAGAAATTGACATGGTCCACTTGGCACTGCGGAGGCACCCATCTCCACCACCCCTCCTTGCCCCTGAGCACATCATCTGATTCAGGCCCCGCTATGATATAAGGTAGAATGACCCGTGGATAAAACCGTTGATAAGCAAGCTGTGCTGGATGAGAGCGGAGTGTGTGACTACTGCCTGTGTGGTGGATGCCTTGTGTGGTGTTGTGTGTGTGTGTGCGTGAGAGAGTTGAAGGACACTACAGCCATGCAGGGGTGGGGTGGATATCATGACCGGCATGGATCCACTTTTGTACACCGTGTCATGGCTGTAGTGGTTACGAGACTCAGCTCTTGAGGCTCAGGGCGCCGGTTCGAAACCGTGCTTGCACGGAGGAGGTCCAGCGGCTCTTGAGGCTGAGGGCGCCGGTTCAAATCCGTGCTTGCACGGAGGAGGTCCTGTGGCTGATAAAGTACAGAATCGTTTGCTAGCTTCTTGCTGAAACTCAGGTTGCGCTGCTGCATCGCGAACCTTCGAAATGCAGTATATACTATATAGCTGCACCGATGCCTTGCTCACAAACCATGGAAGTGCGGAGCGGACTGGATCCATCATTGGTCTGCATGTAGAATCTTTTGCTAAGCTTCTTGCTGAGACTCAGTTGCAATGCTTCGAAAATTTAATGCAGTATATAGCTGCACTCAGTCTGCTGCCTTGCTCCCAACCAATAGAAGTGCAGACTTGATCCATCATGGTCTGCACCATAGCTTTTGCCGAAGCTTCGGAATAAATACAGTCAGAGGCAAGGATAACGATTGGACGAAGATCTTGGATAACGATCGGACAAAGATCCTTTAAGACATTGTTTAAAATGGCATTCATTGCCTCTGTATCGGCCCATACAAAGGGGTGAGCAGTCACATGAACTGACATCCTCGCTCAAGCGGCGGTTCATCTGGATATTCTCCAAGATGCCGCCTATAAGCTGAGGAATGTCAGTTGCTATGACCCGCCGAGCACCAAGTTTGGCGCACAAGATGCGAGGTAAGGCCACCACACCTGGCCGAAGTTCGAGGATGGACAAATCGGGCAGCGGCAGGCGTCTGAGCTCAGGATATGCTTGCAGGTACGGACGGAGCAGAGCAGCGCTGTCCCGTATGCATCCTCGTAGGTGAGGAGAGTGAGGTTCCTGAGAGGTAAGGATTTTCTTCCTCCCAATGTTCCCATTGAAGTCAAGGGTGCCTGCGCCGCCCATCGATCATGCGAGATCAGGGTGGTGACAGTTGTTGGCACTCCGTCCATCCCCTGGCAGCCTGAAAGGGTGTCACTAAACCCTAAACCCATAGGAGTGGAAGAGGGCGACTTGAGGAGGTCGTTAGTCGGCTGAGAGGAGTGACTCGATGGCGGGAGGAGGAACCAGTGAAGGACTAGTGTTTTGCGGGATCATGCTCTTCTGCTTCCATTTGGCTTTCGCGATTCTGTATGGTGGAGAATAACCACAAACGAGAAATTCCACTGTCAGGATGCGCAAGGCAAATGCAGACGCAGCAAGCTCACCGTCGCTCGAGATCAACATTCCGTGCTATAACTCCTAGCACACAGCACTAAGTCTTCCAGATTTCTCGCACAACTCACCGGTGCATAGCATTTGCAGCCCGCCTCTCGTACACCCTGAGGCAATAATTTGCTTCAGAAGTTGATCTCATAAAACAGCTGTGCAACAGGCAGCAGAACTCTCTCTCTCTCTCTCTCTCTCTCTCTCTCTGTGTGTGACAAACACACACACACAAAGTAGTCAGTGGTTTCCACAGCCTATATAGTCAGTGATGATATGGAGAAAGGAGGGGGGTCTCCGCGGAACCCTTGGAGCAAATGCCTTCCCCTCCATCGACAACGTCAACTGGACTTCTCAGCTCGCAGTAGAGCAATGCGATCACTGGAGGGAATTGCCGCGTAACTTGGTAAGGACTTTTCCTGATGTATTTTAAGGGTTAATTTCAAAAATATTGCTCTCCAAGTTTGGCTGCAAAAATGTCGTCCGTAAAAATGTAGTCCTCTGCAAAAATAGAGGTTTTGTTGCAGCTTTATCGGGTTCCCATCATAGTTTGCCAGCAAAAATAAAAATACAGCGTTTTGCCAAGTTTCACAGCAAAGGAACCCTAGGCCCATGGCCTCAGGGACTCAGGGACTCGGTGTTCCGGCCTCAGGCACTCAGCTTTTCTCTCTCTCTTTTTTTTTTTTTTTTTTTTCCGTTGGCAGAGGCATCTCGGCCGTGGCCATACCTGAGATGCCTCGGCCACATTTCTTGTTTTTTGTTTTTTTTTGGTTGCGGCCGTGGCCAAGGCATCTCGGCCGTGGGCATGCCCAGATGCGTCGGCCATGCCTGGAAAAAACAAAAACAAAACAAAAAAAAACAATGCTGAGTGCCTGAGGCCAGAACGCTGAGCCCCTGAGTAAAACAATGCTGAGTGCCTGAGCCCAGAATGTTGAGTCCCTGAGTCCCTGAGTCCAGAGGCCTAGGGGTCCTTCGCTGTGAAACTTGGCAAAACGCTGTATTTTTATTTTTGCTGGCAAACTATGATGGGAACCCGATAAAGCTGCAACGAAACCTCAATTTTTGGGCAAAGCAAACTTCGAACGGATGACATTTTTGCTGCCAAACTTGGGAGGAGCAATATTTTTACTATTAATAATGTATTTAATGACCTTTAGGGTCACATTCATCAGCCTGCCACATCCGTATGGCCTCGGACTGCGCAACCACGAGTGCAGAAATAGTGAGCATCACAGAGAGCGGCAGTCGCAGAGATGATGGCCAAGGAAGGCAGATGATGATGATGATACATCTGAAGGCAGACGCCGTTTAAAAAAAAAGAAAGAAAAAAAAGACCTGGCAGAATACTAGACCCCGGTCTTCTGTGGTTGGTGGTTTTTTTTTTCCTGTTTTTTTTTTTGGGTTCTTATAGATAAGAAAATGGGCGGGGGCCTTGTGGTCTTGTGTTTTTCCAAGTCTGCCAGTAATCAATGACATTCGAAACCTGAGCTGCCTGATTATGTGTGCTTATGTGCGTTCTCGTTTCGGAAACCTGGGGCGACGTCACACTAGCAAAGCGGATTGGATTCAAAGCCGGAATCTGGACTTTTTTGTGGAGAGGTGCAGAAAATTGAGATTGAACTGCTTTTCTGCATCTCTGCTTAAAAGCCGTCCAGATTCTGGAGATTTATCCAATCCTTTTTGCTAGTGCCCCTGGGTCCAAGGCCCACTTACGGGCTGACTGTTCGTTTCTGGCCGTTGATGATGCCAATCTAAGCGGTTAGAAATTGACAATTCGGGTAAGTGGGGCTTGGCCCCTGGTAGAAAACTAGATTCAAACTACAATACCCCCCCCCAATTTGCTTCCAAACTTACTGGTCTCTGTTTTTTTTTTTTTTTTTTTTTTTTTTTTTTTTTTTTGTTTGACCATTTCTTGATTTATGTGTGTCATCCTTGCGCAGGGGCCATGGTAATCTTCTGATTCTTCTCTGTATGGTTCCATTCTAAGTTCTAACTGATGTCCCGAATGGTTGTTTTTGCTTTTTCTTTTCCCCTTCGTCTCCACCGTTTTTACTTTTGCAGGTAATGAGCTAGGTCTCCACCGTTTTTACTTTTGCAGGTCATGAGGTAGGCAGTCAGCAGCTTGAGGCCAACGGTGAGCGTCGGTACACTAGCATTTCCCTCCCTGGATGTATGTGGCGTGAATTACGACTCCCGACGGATGTATCTGATCGCAAAAACGTTTCAGAGAGATAGAGATGTGAATATGCCCTGAATGAATCAGTTGAAGGCGGTGACGACCTCGCTTCGGAGCTCTTCCTCTACCTGGGTATGGAGGACGAGAGGGAGTTTGGGCAAGAAATTTGAACAATCAAGCGGACACGTCAGCAAATTGGAGTCTCAGCCATAACCACTCACTGCCACAAGGGAGGAGCCTCTCCACGCTGCTGCTCTAAGACTTACTCTAATTCCACAGTTTTGAGTTTGGGAAGCCGATCCAATGTACGTGCCAGCAGAGTAACATCCGTCTATCCTTCCAAGGATGTTTCGTTTCGCCGAAGCTTGATTGCCATTCCGTTTGCATTTCGGATTGGAAGCCTGTTTGTGCGTCCGTTAGTGAGTCCGTTTGAGAGCTCGCTGGCGTTGCCGTTGTCCTGTCGGAGCGTGATTGGCTGCAGAGGGAGAGGGGAGCTTAAGAAGGAAGAGACTTACCGTGGTAATTGTCCACTTACGGGTGTTTCATTTCTTCGAAAATTGTCTTCGACTCCGTTGGTGGGTCCGTTTGTGAGTCTGTTTTCGAGTCCGTTTGTGAGCTCGCAGACGGTGTTGTCGTTCTGCTCAAGCGTGATTGCGGTCAGATGTTGTGAGTCTAGGAGTAAACAGAATTACTGCAGTAACTCTACTTCCATTCTCTGTGAACAAAGTCACTGCCGTAAATCTACTCCCATTTGCTGTGGACAAAGTTACTGTGGTAAATCTAGTTCCATTCGCTGTGAACGAAGTAACTGCGGTAACTCTAACTCTAGTTCCACTCGCTGTGAACAAAGCCAATGCGGCAACTCTTACTCTAGTTCCACTCGCTGGGAACAAAGTTACGGCGGTAGCTCCAGTTTCATTCGCTTTGGTCAGAGTTACTGCGGTAACTCTAGACCAAGTTCCATACGCTGTTCGGAAGCGAGGAGGGTAGAGATGGATTTTCGTGCTGCGGTGACCAGCATCGGCCCTGGAATGGAGGACAGGATTCGGCGCCAGTTAGTCGATCTTGTCAACGTGGCAGAAGATAAACGCTATGGTCCTGTACTGGATAAGATCGGAGATGCGTCCATCGTCTTGATAGGCGAGGCGTCACATGGCACTCATCAGTTCTACCGCGTGCGTGCGGAGCTGACTCAGCACTTGATCGTGGCGAAAGGGTTCAACACGGTGGCCGTCGAAGCTGATTGGCCCGACGCGTATCGGGTCCATCGCTACGTGCAGCACCGGAGCAAGGACAAGTGTGCGGAGCGGGCGCTCGCGGACTTCCAGCGTTTCCCCACGTGGATGTGGCGCAACACCGATGTGGTCCGCTTTGTCCAGTGGTTGCGCGCGCATAATCTCCCCCTGCCGGCGGAGAAGCGCGTCGGGTTCTACGGTCTCGATCTCTACAGTCTGTATCGCTCGATCGAGGCCGTGATTAACTACCTAGATAGCGTGGATCCCGATGCGGCGAAGAAGGCACGATATCGCTACGGCTGCTTCGAGGAGTTCGACCAGGACCCCCAACAGTACGGCTTCTTGACTAATTACGGCGTAAGCGGGGGGTGTGAAGATGAGGCAATCAAGCAGTTGATGGATATGCGAGACAGGGCAATGACGAAGGTGCGTACAGACGGGTTTATGGAGATGGAGGAGGCATTCTACGCCGAGCAGAGTGCCCGCCTTGTGCGCAATGCGGAGCGCTATTACCGAGCGATGTTCAGAGGGCGGGATAACAGCTGGAACTTGCGCGACGGGCACATGTTTGAGACCCTGGAGGCGTTAATGACCCATCGAGCGGAGGTGTTTAAGCAACCCGCCAAAGTGGTGATCTGGGCGCACAATTCACATCTCGGCAATGCGCGCTTCACGGAGATGTCAAAGCGCGGGGAGCTTAATATTGGGCAATTGATCAAAGAGAAGTACCCTGACAAATGTTACTCGCTCGGGCAGACGACATATGAAGGAACGGTGGCGGCGGCGTCCAACTGGGGTGACCCAGTGGAGCGGAAGATCGTGCGGCCTGCGTTGGCCGACAGCTACGAAGCGCTGTTTCATTCAATCAAGCGCCCCGTCTTTTTCCTAGATCTCAAGAACGAAGAGATGGCGGAAGATCTGCGCAAGATGCAGCTCGAGCGAGCCATTGGCGTGATCTATCGTCCGAGGACGGAGCGGCAAAGCCATTACTTCTATGCGCAAATCTGTAAGCAGTTTGATGGGGTGATACACTTTGACATGAGCGATGCTGTTATCCCCTTGGAGCCGACAAGTGGCTGGATGGGGTTGGATGTCCCTGAGACCTACCCGACAGGGATTTGATGAGCTGGCGGATTGAGTAATCACAAGAAGAGGGAGGAGTCGATGCTGTCGAGTGTGTGTGTGTGTGTGTGTGTGTGTGTGTGTGTGTGTGAGAGAGAGAGAGAGAGAGAGAGAGAGAGAGCTGGGTGGGCTGGTGCTGGTAGCATGGGGGGTTGTAATCACAAGAGGAGGGAGGAGCCGATCCTGTTGAGACTATGTTTTGTGTGTGTGTGTGTGTGTGTGTGAGGGAGAGAGAGAGAGAGAGAGAGAGGGCTGACGGGTGGGTGGGTGGGTGTTGGTAGCATGGGGGTTCGGGTGTGTGTCCCGGTGTCCGTGAGGCACGGAATTTTTTTTTTTTTTTTTTTTTTTTTTTTTTCCAGTTGCATCCCCCCCTCCCCACCCCCCGCCCCGAGCGGGAAACGTCTACCCCCGAAAATCGAATAAAATCAGCTTCGTTCCAGAGCTGTAAGGTATAGTAAAGGTGAAATGAGAAAGCGACAAAGAAAGAGGAAGCAATAAGGATAAAGCAGAGGAGTAGAGTAGGAGATGCTGCTTTTGCTTTTAGCTGATCTGGATTTGCTTTCTCTGCTGGATCGCCGATGGTTTTCTGCATTTTTTTTTTTCTTCTGTAGATTGAGTTCTTTGTCTTCCAGCTGTAAATAAGTGCTGGGATTCAGTTCTCAGTCCATGTAGAAATTGTGAATGTATCCTGCAATAGAAAGAGGTGTGAATGTATCTCCCAGTAGATCGTGGTGAGATGCAGAAATTGTTTCTCTTTTTCTTTGAGTGGGATTTAATTTAGGCGTGAATGCATCTTTCCGCGCAACGAGGTGAGGTCCATTTTCACATTTGGGAAGGTAGTGGAATGAGGCTCCTAGAGTCAATAGTCTAGGAGACTAGGGAATGCGGAGAAGGAACGAAGCCTTAGGGAAAAAACCATCAGTAGAGATTGATCTGTTTTTTTTTTGTTTTTTTTGTTCTTTCATTTTTTCTTGCACTTTTTTCTTTTCAAAATGATAATTGATTCGTGTCAACGCAGTGATTTTTCTTTTTGTGTGCTTTTTTTTTGGGTTCCAACTTCAAAGGAACTTTGAATTGGCTTGTTTGATTGGTCGCTTTGACCGATGATTGCTGGTTTTCTTGTTGTGACAAATACTTCGCCCTATTCTTGTTGGTTTTGTCGTTGTTACAAAAAATATTTGAATCCTGAGATCGAGAGACACGTGTAGAGGAGGGTGAATAGTCTTTTACAGTCCGAAAGTGATGCGGCTGATGGCTTTTTATTAACCGCTCTCCAACTCTCTGCTAATCAATCATCTCCTGCCATCTGGAACTACACAGTTCTGACCGAGTCTCCTGAGTGCAATGCATTTGAGAATAGGAAGTATTTACTATTTACATCGTGCCATGTACATTGTTGCCAAATCATCATATACCACACAGTTTTCACTCAGTGCAATCAATTTGAGAATAATGTGATTCAGAGGAGCAAGGACAACGTGTCACGTGTGTGTGTGTGTGTGTGTGTGTGTGTGCGTGTGTGTGTGTGCGCGCGAGAGAGAGAGAGAGAGAGAGAGGCGAAGTGACTGCTCATATATATATATCGTCATATATATATATATATGTATTCACCCCCCCACACACACACACAGAGCGAGCGAGAGAGAGAGAGAGAGAGAGAGTAGCAAATCGACTGCGCATTGGAGAGACAGCGATCAGGGAGTTTTAGTGGAGGGGAAACGGTTCACAGTAAAATTTGTGGTGGGCTCAGCCTGGCTTATTGAAGGATCAACTTGTTGAGTTGTCCCTCTGTGTACTTTTTCAGGTACTGTTTTAAATGAGCAGGTGTAGCCTTCAGTGTGTGTCAAAGGTGGCCTACCCTTCACTGCATACGAATCGACATCATGCTGTATATCCTATAGTAGATATGTGTCTTTGTGCTGCACATAAAAAACTATGGATTAGAGATTAGCATGTGTTGTCGACAATACAACTAAGTGTTTCAGCTGTACACAACTTTATACACTAGTACAACCAGCATGAATTAGGTACAGGTTCCTCCTTCCCAAAAAAAAAAAGAAAAAAAAAAGAAAAACATTTCCATACATGCTCTACCACGTTCTATCAGGGAAAGTATGTGCTTCATAGTAGAGCTACAGATACTTGATCTTAGCACAGCTACCTTGTTTGACTATTGTAGAAATATGCTTCTATGTCCCACTAGCTTAGAACTATGTACTAGAACTATGTACTAGAACTACGTACTAGAACTATGTACTCGAACTATGTGCTAGAACTATGTACTAGAACTATGTACTAGAACTATGCACTAGAACTGTGTACTACTATCTAGTAACTGCTATGTTTGTGCACAACTGAGTGTCAGTGTTCTATGCACAACTGACTCTGAGTGCAGCTATGTTCTGCCCTGTACAACGGTGTCGGTACGAAGTCTGTACTATCATAAGACTATCATAGCGCTCTGTAAAAATGTACTATGCACAACTGTATACTATGTTCATAGTACTCTGTATACATGTACTATGCACACGTGTACTATGTTCTGCTATGCACAACTGTGTAGTGTGTACGACTACGAGTACATACATACCTTGTTTTTTTTTTTCCGTCTTTTTTGTTTTGTGTAATTATGGTACTCCTAAGCAGTGTAAGCACCGTCTTTTACTATGGCATGTGTGGCATTTGTGTGCTATGCACTATGTCCGAGTCTGTACTGCGATGTATAGTCAAACATCCTAATATACCCGTATGTACGTAATCTATGGCATTCGTTGGTTGGCTGCTTGTTGAGATAGTCACAGGCAGAAATGAGCCACTTGTCACAGTTCTGGTACTATGGGTAGATTTCAATTATAGTGCCACTAGTTCAAAAAGCACTTAAAGCTAATGTCAGTACTATGTTCCAGTATGCACTATACTTACGTACATTATGTTCTAGTGTAATGATAGTTGTTACATGCTGCGCCTGCACACGAGGGCCATTTTCCAGGCCCTGCGTCACTCAGGCTGGAAGCCTGAAATTCAGGCTGAAAGCCTGAAAACCATTCAGCTCGAAAGCCTGAAATCCAGGGGCCTACAGAGCCTGTGTCGTTTCAGACTAAAAATGGCAGCATCCTTTTTAGGCTGAAACGAAGGGCCATTTCCGTTCTGTCGTCAGACCGGCCTGCCCTGAAACTCAGGCACCGAACCAGGGTCTTAGGAGCAGGCTATTTTTGGCCTGTTCCCAACTTCCCACGACAGCTGCAGCGCCAGCCCCTGGCTCAGAGTGGCATTGGCAAAAGCAGCCTCCTGGACTGCCCGCCCTGCAACTGCAGGCAGTCGGAGGCAGTCAGGAGGCAGGCCGAGGTAGTACATACGGGTAGGCAGGAGGCAGTCGGTAGTCTTCAGGATTCGGCAGCAGCACTCTGGAGGGAGTGCTAAAGGAGTAGCAGTAGCGTTAGCATTAGTCTTCAGCGCTGGGCGCCAGTAGGTAGCTGTAGTCTTCAGCGCTGGGTGCCATAGCTAGGATAGTACTAGAGAGAGAGAGATTGGGCGGAGGCCAGGAGTACCTACCTGCAGCGCCGTTGCTCCAGCTTCGTCTTCGAGGTACCTGCAGCACAGCGCCAACTTCACAGGTTACTATCTGGCTCGTGACACAGAGAGAATTCTTCTTCTTCCTCTTCTCAGTCCATCTCCGTCTCACCCTCTCATTATCTGACTTCACTGCATCGGCAGACTACGAAAGAAAGAGAGAGAGAGAGAGCTTGGTGACATTGGATCCAGACTCGACGACATTCCCATCTCTCCCCCTCGTCTTCGTCTGATCCCCTCCTCTTCGTCTGTGTATGTCTGGACCTGGCGCTTCCTTCCTGTGTACAGCGCCAGGCTCCGTCACACCTTGTGATGGACACAATGTATGTTTGATCTGCGTTTAAACATTGATTGGGTTAGTCATTAGCATTCTAGCATTCTGCTTTGCTATCTTGTACTACGTGAATGAGGTCAGTCCCAGTCAGGTCAGGATTTGTATCTAAGTCTTCCCTGCGCTATTCAGCACCATCTTGTATGTATCAGAATGCACATTGCTTGTTGAGATTCTACTTGCACTGCATTGTCCATTCAGTCCTTTTTATCACATTGCGGATCCTCAGTTTTTGTGTACATCGCCTGACTGGGCATGTAACATAGTGAAGGGCTGCTTGTTGAGGTAATCGATTGCTCTGCAGTGCCCTTGGCTATATAGTATATAGAGTGTATGAAGTGTATAATAGTGAAGGGCTCTGGACAGCGCACAAATACCTTACTATACACTCCTACGATACACATTTTGTGCACGCTGTGTACTCAAATGTACTACCATTAGAATTGTCCCATGCAGCAGCATGTCCCCCTCGTGCTTTATGCAGACTGCTGAGGGGTGATCTGGACACCAGTAGCATGTTCCGAATGTGTTTCACTTCTGCGATCTGCACACCAGCAACCTTATGCGAATTCGTTTCAACTTTGTGATCTGGACATGAGCAGCATGATGATCATAATCGTAATCTGTTTGTTTGTTTTCGTTTTCTTCGAATGGCGTGGCGACCGTCTCGAGGTATCATCTCTGAGAGGTGACTGGCCCCAGCCAGGTACCAGGTCTGTCAGAGTTCTGGCCAGGTCTTTCAGAGGAACTGTTGTTTTACAGGCCTGTTACCCCCCCCCCCCCCCTCTCCCCCTTCCCTGGGAATTGGACTCAGGTCTGCATATAAGCAGTCGATGGGCGTACCATTAAGCCGCATGCACCCGCGGCTATATACTACGCAACTCTGCCGTAGTGGTCGGGACACAGCCTGCATGTCATCGATCCTAGTAGCTCAGATGGTACCCACATGAGCTGGAACAGGTGAATTACAGACCCAAGTTCCTTCGGGGAAATCTCCACAATGAATCCGTGGACTGAACGACTTCATGTGAACTGCAGATATCTGTGAGCCAAAAAAAAACATACCCCTTCAAATCATTTCCGGCCAATGGATACCCCTCCTCAGGTGGTTCGCCGTTCCATGGTCTTCTCAGGCCTTCCAGTTCGTATTCCGAGAAAACTGGGTGCTGGCGTGAGGTCTTGCTGTTATGGGCCAGATCCCACTGGCAAAGAGGATTGGAATAAGCCGCTGAATCTGGACGTGTTTGTGGAGAGGTGCAAACAATTGTGATTGAACTGCTTTTCTGCATATCTGTGTGGAACACGTCCAGATTCAGAGGCTTATTCCAATCCTCTTTGCCCTATGTCAACCTGTACCAATTACACAGCCGGCCACCTGTGTCCCAGTCCAGTCCCCTGACTCCCCTGCTCTCCAACTTTTCTTTTCTTTTTTTCTGGAAATGCCTGCGGTCCCTACTTGTTGGGGGGGGCGGGGGGGGGAGGGATATGAACGGCCCTTAGTATGTTCCCTTGGCCGCTCCATCTATTGGTGGGGGGAGCTACAGCTGCTGGAAAATAGGTCCACCATCCCTTGTACAGAAAAACTTCAGGCGAGAAGACTCCGCTCCATCTATTGGTGGGGGGAGCTACAGCTGCTGGAAAATAGGTCCACCATCCCTTGTACAGAAAAACTTCAGGCGAGAAGACTTAGTCCTTCCCAGTCTTTGTACACTGTCTTAGGGAAGACAGGGCAAGGAAGTCGGAGGACAGCCGCGAAGACTGCCCCGGGTGAGGACGCGGCCCGCAGGACAAGCGGGAGGAGGAAGGGGGCAAGAGCAGGAGGAGCAGCGGGAGGAGGAGGAAAAGATGTCAGGGCAGGGAGGTCACAATCGGGGGAAGTAGAGGTTGGGATGGAGAAATGGGATCGGAGAGGGAAGTCGGGATCGGGGGACAGAGGTGGGGATCGATGGGGGGAAGTGGGGGAGAAGGAGGCGGAGATGGGGAGGGAAGTCTCCAGACGGAGGTCGGGGGAGGGAGGTCGGAGGAGGGAGTTGGGATCGGGGGAGAGAGGTGGGGATCGGTGGAGGGAACCCGGGATCGGGGGAGAGTTGGGGACTGGTGGAGGAAAGTCGGACTGGGGACACAGGTGGATATCGATGGACGAAGTAGGGGGAGGGATGCTGGGATGCGGAAGGAAGTCGACGAAGGGAGGTTGGCGGAAGGGGATTGGAGTAGGACATTGGAATAGGGACGTCCGAGTAGGGACGTCGGGCGAGGCAGGGGAGTCGGGATGGGAAGGGAAGTCGCGGGAGGGAGGTCAGTGCAGGGTGGGAAGTGGGGACGGGAAGGGGGGACAGTCCACGCAGGGAAGTCGGGATGGGAAATGGGGGTTGGGGGAGGGGAGTCGGGGAATGGAGGTCGGCCACTCGGCGGAGGGAAGTCGGGGGAGGCAGGGGAGTTGGGATGGGAAGGGAAGTCGTGGGAGGAGGGTCAGTGCAGGGAGGGAAGTCGGGATGGGAAGGGGGGTCAGTCCACGGAGGGGAGTCGGGATGGGAAGGCGGGTCGGGGGAGGGGAGTCGGGGAATGAAGGTCGGCCACTCGGCGGAGGGAGGTCAGGGCAGGGAAGTTGGAGGAGGCAGGGGAGTCGGGATGGAAAGGGAAGGATATAAACTACCAAGTCCCTTTTTCTTTTTCCTTCTGTAACATCCACTACTGCTTGCTACTGGGGTCCCTGTTGTAGATGGATCGGGTCTATTTCTGGGTAACTTCACCTGCTGGAAACTGGGTCCAGCATTCCATTAGTGATAAAAGATCCATTAGAGCAAATTGAATACAAAACCGAACAATATATCGGAGCTTTGTGTCCCAAAAAAAAAAAAAAAAAAAAAAAAACAGAAACCAATTGGCACTGCAGCATTGATTACCCTGAGTATTCAGGGGCCCGACTGGCAGTGCAATTTGGCAATTGGGAGCACTGCTCCTTCATCCTTTTTTTTTTATCCCTTGAATCCAAGGGAGGCTATCGGGTGTGGTAGGAGCACACCTGAATATCATCCCCTGGTGAGGGTTGCTCCTTTCTATTGGTGGCAGCTGCACCTGGTAGAATCTTTTTTTTTTTTCCTGGTAGAAAATGGGTCCAGCGTCCCATAAAATAATAATAATAATAATCATAATAATAATAATAATAATAATAATAATAATAATAATAATAATATTTTTTTTTTTTTTTTTTTTTTTTTTTCTTAACGCCCCTGTCAGTGTTAGTGCTGCTGATAAGAGCAGACACCACTAACACCTAGGGAGAGGCTCCATCTATTGGAGGGGGGAGCATCACCTGCTGGAAAACGGGTCCAGCGTCCCATATGGTTACAACAAACAAGGTCTGAGAATGCATGAGAAATGTATGAGAAGATCTGAGGAGATCTAAAGAGTCTTAAGCATATAAGATGGGATCTGCCAGCATTGATTGCCCTCCAAAGAGAAGGGGATCGACTGAGCAGGCCAGTAAAGAGTTCAGTAGTGCAGCCCTATATAGAGCATGGAATATTCTGTATCTCTTCAGCCTCGAAGGAGGGCGGCAGATAAACATTTCAGAGCTGATACTAATAATGCAATAGACTGACTGCTCCTGAACTACCTCCAGATCCTGCCGTATGTCTCAGGCTGCTCAGGCTATCCCTAAATTGGAGATGTCGATAGGAACAGTCACATCTACCTATGCTTGGGAGGTTCCCACTAATAGTGTTTCTGAGATTTTTTCTTTTTTCTTTTTTTTTGCCTGTTTGATTTTTTGATGTTTGTATTATGATCCTGCATTGTTTGTTCGTGAAATATTTGAGGACATTGTTTGTGGTGATGCGGCGAAAAACCCCGAATTTTGGGCCTTCCATTAACCCTCTCTCGAGGCTCCATCTATAGGTGGAGAGCTGCACCTGCTGGAAATCGTGTCGAGCGTCCTTGACTCATGAACCAATCTGTATTACATCAGCTAAAAATGCTGGGGAATTGCCTCTTCAGCCTACAGTAGGCCGCCAGGTCTGCTCTTAACATGCTAGCTACTCCCCTTCTTACTCGAGTTGAGCTTTTTTTTTTTTTTTTTTTTTTAAGACTCAACAGGCTGTAGAGGTGATACAAGAAGTGGCATGAGGAGATCACAACAGGAGCGATTTGATTTGAACGAAGATGGAGGAATTGTTGGCATGGTGCTTGCGATGTCATGATGGATTGGAAGTTTCCCTGGAGAGAGTGGTGGGTGCAGTGGACATGGTTTGATACGAGTTCTCACCATTACGGCAACGTGGGTGGCGCCCCCTACTAGGTCTTTTCCAGTCACTCCATCTATTGGTGGGGAGCTGCACCTGCTAAAAACCGGGTCCAGCGTCCCATGAGAACAAGAAACATGAGTACTACTTAGAAACATGAATTCAAGAGCACCCAAGGTAAATCCAGGCCTCTTCACTCTTTGATAGAGCGCCAGATTTCCTCTATACATCTATACAACCTAGCCCTTGGTCACCTATTTCTCAAGCAATCAACACTTAATCGTATCCAAACCAGGATCTGCGTACCATGGACAATGGCGAAGGGGGAAAAGGGTCCGGGAAGTCCAGCATAGCGCGCATGGTAATGTTCCTGGAGACAGCTTGAGGTGCTGGTAGGAACAGACACCTAAAGCTGGCCTAGGTGTGACTCCATCTATTGGTGGGGAGCTGCACCTGCTGGGAAACGGGCCCAGTGTCCCAATTACAAAATCACAGATGTTGTACAGTGTCCCATTGGTACTGCTGGGAAACGGGCCCAGCGCCCCAATTACAAAATGATCACAGATGTTATACAATGTCCCATTGGTAGCATGAGGGGGGCAAGGCACTTCGGCGCACGACCGATGCGGACATGCATTCCGAGGCGAGGGCCCTCTCAGAGTGTAGTGCATCTCATGGCTGCGGTCAGCAGTGCAGTATGGCAACGCAACTTCCACATCGTAATCTCGCGGCCCTGAAAACCTCATTTGTCATGCATTGTCGACCCCGCTGAAGTTGCAGATGTTGCACAAGTTCACATCATCCTAAGAGCACGACACAGAGCAGCTCAAGTTGGCAGTTGGTCGTGCACCATGACTCCCCGGCTTCCAAACCAGTCTGTCAAACCCTTAAACCCCTGAACCCTTCTCTCGTCGGGCCGTTGCAGGAGCTCATTCTTCCGCCAGGGCTGGCAGTCTGAGTGGCAAGGCGCGTTATGCTCCGCTCCAGGGAGGGGGGGAGGAAGAGTCGAAGGTGGGGGGGCGCTCAAGGGGTTTGCTTAGGGGTTGCCGACAAGGACGAAGTTGGGCTTAAGGGTTGCCGACGAGAATGAAGTTCGGCTGAAGGTAGGGGACGTGAAAGTCATCCCGAGGACGTCTGTGCCACTCCTGCTCCGTGCGCCTCCACGGTTTCCAGTGAATGGTGAAACTGTCATCCAGCTCACTGAATCGGTGCAGGGGGTCTTGCCATATCTGTCGGTATGAGCACATAATAGCCTTTTAAATTTGGTCTGCGGTTCTTTCTGTTCTTGGTAGTCTCTTTGCATGGCCTTCCATGCATCCTGGGTCTGCGAGCGAATCACGTCCTACATCACCTGTTGCGCTTGTTGGAAACGGAATTGGTGGTCCTTCCTCTCATAGGAGCAACGGGCCCGCCAGGCTAGCATAAGGACTTGCAGCCGCATGTAAGAGAAGAGGTTGACTGCGAATGGGGACCAATCGGCCAGCAGGTGTGTGTTTTTGCCCAGCAACAGCAGGCCCAGGTCCCAGGGGATGTGGACAGCCATAAGAGAGTGGAAGGCTGCGTCCCACCATTGCCACAGCTGGGCCACCATAGGGCATGCGAGGAGAGAGTGCTATAGTGTGGCACGAGCAGGCGGTGACGACCGACCACAGTATGAGCATATGGGGGAGAGTTGCCCTCGCTGCTCCATGTCAGTTCTGCTGACTAACCAATCCGGGGTGTGCAGGCAGCGGTGCAGGATCTGCCATTGCAATGGCCGGAGATTTGTGGGCATGATGTTATCGCATGTGGACCACGACAAGTCCTGCATGAGGGTCGGGTCCATACGGGACTCACGGGCCCAACGATCAGCCACGGTTTCATTCAGCGGTTGGTCCGGGTTCGAGGCTCTATAACCCCCTTTGACTGTGTATTCCCATACAGGCATTGTCTTACCACCCGGCCATTCCCACTCCAGCGCGTCAAAAGGCAGTAGTGCCACCGGGTTCGAAGCCTCGTAGACAAATTGCCCAGCTTCGGAATCCCCCAGCACTCCAACCTGCAGCAGGCCTCCTCATTTTGTTTCGCTGTCAAGGTCTTCATTCTGTGTAAGCTTTGGGAGTCTCGCCTTTGGCAGCATGGGTTCGTAGGCCACCAGGGTGCAGGTGCCTTGACATTTGCTACACACTCGATAAACCACGAGCGATGTAGGGAGGTCCGCAAACTGCACCACCCAGTCCCCTGTTTGGACTGTGGGGCCTTTCATAAGAAGGAGGTGCCAAGCTACCGGGATTGCCTCACTTAGCTCGGACAGTTTTTCATCTACAGATTTGACATGTTTGAGTGTTTGCTGCAGCTTTGGCGCACACAGCCAGTCACTCGTTGATGCGTCCCACAGGTCTCCTACGGTCCCACATTGACTCTCCACTCTCCTCCTAGCCTCTGCATCTTGGCTTCTGGCAACTCTTCCTATTGATCTTCACCTGCTCACTGGGCACTGTCTATCTACATCTGATCCTCCCTAAAGCATTGCCCCTGAATCCCTGATCTGAGACAAGTTTTCCTTCTCTAAATCGTGGGTCCCTTCCTCTCTTCCTAGTTACGCTCCATGCCAAACCATTGTAGATCCATGATTGCGTTTGGCGGGGGGGCGGGGTTGTGCGGAGGGGGGCCCGTGTGGGGGTGGAAGAGATCTGGAAAATGATGGGGGGTTTGTTCAGTGGGATCGTGGTGTAACCGTTGATCTGGGTCCAATCGTCAAAGACAAGGGTGCAATCGTTTCTTCTAAAATCCTCCTCTTCTTCTCCCCTTTCTCCCCCTTCTCATCCTGGCCAGCTCACATGTGCCGGCCATCACCTCTTGTTCTCCCCCCACCCAGTCTTTAGAGAATTGTTCCCTCACAACAGACTGAGTAGTTGACAAATATAATAATACATCAACACACCCCAGGCCAGCTCCTGCCAGTATTCTTCAGCCCATCTTGCGATCGCCTAGTTTAAAAAGCATGGCTTGGCAGTATTCCCTTTTCTGTGCTTATGTTCACCAGGTCCTGCTGAGTGACTCTTCAAGTTGGCTGGCTGTGCGCATATCGTCCCACGGCAATCCCACCAGTGTCAATTCGTGGTGGTGGTGGTGGGGGGGGAGGGGGCACATGTCAACAAATTACCTTTCTTGGAGGGCCCGGGTTGTAGAGGCAGAGTCGCATAAATGATCAAGTCAAGCAATGGAAGGCCCTGCAGCTTGCTGTCATTCCTCGCATCCAGTCATAAGCGTGTACAGCCATACAACTACAATGTTCAGAGGCGCGCTGGACCCCCTCTGCAGCAGGTGTTGCTGCCCTCCAATAGAGGGAGCCTCCGCGGGAGTGCTAGTGGTGCCTGGTCTTATCAGCACCCCTAGCATCAGCCCAGGTTGCTTAAAAAGAAAAGACAAAAAAAAAAGACTGCAGAGGCTACTGCAGACAACAAGGTACCAAGTCAAGCTACAGAAATTATTACAGGATGGAGCAACGGAGCTACAGCGGAAGTAAATTTCATCAGGAGGGATGCGAGGAAACACTCCTCGACAGCTTATTAACAAAAA